TATGCACCTGTTGGGTATTACAGAACTTCTCGAGCCTTGGAATCAGATTAGACACCACCATCCTTGTTTCCTGTTCTAAATTGATGTTTCCAAGTCATGCTTGCTTATTTTTTATCACAGCAATCACTGACAACTAAGCTTCGCAAGATATGGTGTTCTGGAAACAAATACAGTGTGATCTCATGTTAATGTTGTGAAACTATTTCGAATGAGCTGTTTGTTTCTTGTCCGATAAATGGTGCTGTATTTCTCTCAAAAATATGAAGCAGCCTGGGGCTTCCTCTGTGACCCGGCTGTAGTAATTCTGTCGATTTTTTGTTTGTATACATTTTGAAGATAGGTCACTGGACATCTAGTATTATAATTGTTAAGCTTCTCATGGTGGGTTGGATGCTTTTAACACTAAGGAAAATCTGTCTCTAAAAATGCTTCTTCCCTACATTGTTTGATAAGAGGATTTCTGAAAACGTGTCTGTTTTGGTGAAACTGTTCTTGACAGCGTTTTAAACCTGTTCTAGACAATATTTATATGTGCTTCCTGATAAGAAAATATGAGGGCTGCTTGAAGGTGGAATTAAGATTCCAGAATACTCTTTTATGGCTTATTCCTGTCTATTCTGTAAAATGTTATTTAAAAAATTAACACCGAGTTTTGGAGAGCACTAACCGGCCCCCACACCCTTCTGCATAGGTCTGTTCTTTGGAGTCCTGCTCTGTCCCATGGTATCTGCCCATTGCAGGAAACCTCTCATCCCTGGCCCCGCCATTACTTTCCATTTTGCCTCCCCTCCCTTTTCCCTTGGAGACCGGAAGTGTACTCTTTAGGTAGAAGGGAAGAGACTGCAAATAAATGTCTTACGTACAAAGTTTTATTTATGAAATGTCAAAGTCTGTGGAGGGAAACTGTGGGCTGCCTATTTCTCATGAGACATGTAAAGAGCTTGCGTCTCCCTCCTGTCCTTACAATAAGGAAAAGCTGAAAATCGAGAACCACACTCAGATTCCTGAGGATGCAGATGGCAAGGCCAGACGTTGCCTCAAGTATTAAAGAGATACGTGAATGCAGAGAATCACGGTTTAATGGGAGCAGAAGGCAGTCCCAGGGTAGAAAAACTTACACTAATTGATGAGTTGCTGGAGGCTCAGTGCAGATGAGCTGGAGAGGTGAAGTCTCTAGGCAGTTCAGTCTTCAGGGTCTGCCCTAATTTTGTTGGTTTTACCTCCCAGTGCCCCACCAAGTCCTCAGGGTGAAGATCAAAGAAAAATCTAGTGTGTCTGGTGGCAGGGAGGGGTGGGGGCTCTTTGAAATCTGCCCAAGCCTTCTCTTCTTTTCACAAAATCCTGCCCGATGGAGACATTATTTACCAGAATTTCCCTGATTTAGGGGCAGGGAAACACCCCGCTATACCTCCCTGTAGCCTTCCATGTGGGAGAAGAAAGACACCCAACTACTGCCCCTCACGCCTTCCTGTTTCATCTAAAGTTGAGGAGGAGCGCGTTTGAAGATCACATCCCAGGAGCACAGGCTCACCAGAAGGTTGGGACCTGGTCACAGGACTAATAGAACACTTCCCGTCTCCCCATGTTACTACCACATAGACTGTGCTCCTGTGTAATAACTGGGGATTACAACAGGCTTATCTGTAAGCCTCGGATTCTACATGAGAAGGAGTGTCTAGGGAAACCCAAAAACAAAAGGGGAGGCAAAAAGCAATAAAAGTAGAAGAAATTTTAGCCTCGGACATGTGCTGCTACAACAGTAAATGCAGTCGGACTTCTGTACAGACATGAACAGAAAGTTGGTGAGTTGCCTTGACCCAGGATCTGATCAGGCAACCTCAGATCCAAGTAGGAGGCCTTACCCTTCTCATAGAGTCAACGTAACTCTGCTATCTAAGTTAAAATATTCCTGCATTTACAAGTGTCCTAACTGGTCACTTGACAAAATTCTCTTTACTTTACAAATAGTGTTCTTAGAAATTACATATTGAATAGTATGCAGGGACATGTATAACTTGCAGTCCATAAAGAATGGCAGTAACTAGAACACGTGAACTCAACCCTGCCTCCTCACAGGATGATAGTGGGGATGAAATAATGGAACATAAACAAAAGATGAACAAATGATGTAAGAAAAACCAAAAAAAAAAAAAAAAAAACGACATCATTAGATTGAGAAACTTAGAGCATTAAATATGTTATTTCCTAACAAACTGCTATCTTCACGGTTTTCAAGAGTAACTATGAACAAAATAAAAACTAATATTTTTTTTATAGGTGTGTTCTGAAAAGCCAGTCTTTGAGATGTGCCTTATTTCAACAGCCACCATCTAAGACACAGTGGAATCCAGGGTCTATGAGCTGAAAGACCCTCTTAGTTCTGGGGCTCTACTGTTGGAATAGAGGGTTGCTGGCATTCTATTGGATTTGTAAACTGTGGTAGTAGACTAAACTTCCTATTCCTTGTGCCTCAGGAAAATAAAACTTAAGAAGGGATTTAATAAGATACTTGAGGCTTAGGTTTTTATAAAGGAGTATCTTCCTATAAACATTGTCACATTATTTTAAAAATCAGCTTTGAGTTTAGATTTTCACTTTTTTTGGGGGGGGCACTAATATTGTCTTTAACAAGAACATGGTTGCCAAGACTCATCCATTTGAAGTCTTCTAGGAGAGATTACACTGGTTAAATAATTTTCACAAATTAAAGACATTATATTAGATATAGTAAATCTACAATTATTCACTGATAACCAAAAAGATCATTATATTAAGTATAATAAATTTTCTAGATATTTATATTGTCTTACATCTCTTGATTAAGTTAGAACTTTGGTAGCAAGATATGGTTTAAATATTTGATTTGTGGTACGTCTAAACATAGAAGTTATGTCTACTGAAAGTGACTTTATACTGCGGCAAAAGACATTTTTGACACATTTCCTTTACATTTTATTCAGAGCTGAGCTTTTGGGCTTGAGAGTTTTATTGCCAATTTTATAAATCCACAAGGCATTTTTTTTTTGCTATGTTAATTTATTTTTTTTCTTAAATAGTTTATTGTCAAGTTGGTTTCCATGTAATACCCAGTGCTCATCCCAACAAGTGCTCTCCTCCATGCTTATCACCCCCCTTTCCTTCTCCCCCACCCCCATCAGCCCTCAGTTTGTTCTCAGCATTCAAGAGTCTCTCATGGTTTGCCTCCCTCCCTTTCCTCAACTATTTTTCTTTCTCCTCCCCCATGGTCCTCCGTTAGGTTCCTCCTAATCCACCTACACCTGCAAACATATGGTATCTGTCCTTCTCTGCCTGACTTATTTCGCTCAGCATAACACCCTCAAGGTCCATCCGTGTTGCTACACATGGCCAGATTTCTTTTTTCTCATTGCCATGTAGTATTCCATTGTATAAATATACCACATCTTGATCCATTCATCAGCTGATGGACACTTACTCTTTCCATGTTTTGGCTATTGTTGAGAGTGCTGCTATGAACATTGGGGTACATGTGCCCCTATGCATCAGCATTTCTGTATCCCTTGGGTAAATTCTTAGCAGTGCTATTGCTGGGTCATAGGGGAGTTCTATTGTTAATTTTTCTACAAGGCATTTTGATACAAGAGTAAAGAATGGAAATAATATAAACAAATTTATAATAGAGTTTTATGAGTGGTAGCTGGGAATGAGGAATTGTGTAACATTGAGCAAAATTATACACCTTGTCCACATGCTGTGTCCATTTAAAATTGGAAATTTTATCATAAAGAGAAACAAATCTCTTCTGTTAGATCCATAAGTTGCTGTTTTGCTTTTGAATTTTTTTATTAAAAATTTTTTTTGAATGTTTATTTTAGAGAGAGAGAGAGAGAGAGAGAGAGAAAGGGGGGAGGGACAGAGTGAGAGGGAGACACAGAGCCCCAAGCAGGCTCTAAGCTCTGAGCTGTCAGCACAGAGCCCAACTCAGGACTCAAACCCACTAGCTGGGAGCTCATGACCTGAGCTGAAGCCGGTGCTCAACCAACTGAGCCACCCAGGCACCAGCAGGTTTTTTTTTTTTTTTTTTTAATGTGGAGAGAGAAAGCAGAGAAAAAGAATTGTAGACAGAGAAAAGATCCTGAGCAATGGTAAGAATGTGAGAGAAAACAAGGTATGACAAAACTAAGGAATTCTGTGTAGCAGAGCACAATCAGGGGTAGTGTGTAATGGGGGAAGAGCTTAGAGACTTCAGCAGGGGCCTACAACCAAGTCCGAGCAGGGAGACATGGGCGCCAGAAGAGCCGGAAGAGGTCAGGGTGCCGGGGACGGGAGATTCCTGCCGGATGGAGTTTCCTCTTAGGAAAATGGGAGACAGAGGTAAGATTCCAGGTGGTGGCATCTCGGGGCTATGGCTGCAGGACAGCTTGCTAAGGCTGAGCAGGTGCTTTTAATCTTCTCATTTACAGAACACAGTTTTCCAAATTATAGGACGCTTACATATGGTAATCATCCTAGGTGGTGTGTGGATGAACATTTTTAATCGCTGTGTTACAGAAAAAGATAGCTCCCATAGCACAACCGGGACCTTCTGGATGTTACTGCTCATCCATAAATTAAACAGTTTAAATGAAATGGTTTATTTTTAATTTTTATTATTTTCATTATTTTAAAAATGTTTTATTTATTTATTTTGAGAGAGAGAAAGCATGCGAGCAGGGGAGGGGCAGACAGAGACCGAGAGAGAATCCCTAGCAGGCTCTACACTCCACGCGCCCCTGGACACTGAAATGTGCCTAACGAGAAAACGTGTCCCCCAGAATAAGATGGACCTGGACATTATTACATTGTCTGGCAAGGAGGAACCTGCGCCGAGACCCAAACAGAATACTGTGTGTTCACACATACTAAGGCGTCATCTTTATTAAGTTACACGAAGACGCGAGTAACGTCCTGAGCGATCCAAGCCCCAGCCTAAATCAGAATTCAGATCATGAGGCTCTTAATGGGAAAAAATTAGTACTTACTTTGTGAATTGTGGTCTTAATCTGTGTTCTCTCTCGCAGATACTAAACTGTTACTGAGGTACCTGCCTCGGGGGCAACCAAATAGCCGTGAGCCGCCTCCATGCCAATAACCCCCCTTGCTGACGGCTCAGAACACACTTCCGGGGGGGGAGGGGCGGGTAAGTGGAAGGGCGGGTCCGAGGGCGGCCGTGGCGGAAGAGGGGGTCACCCAGAGGCCCCGGCAGCTGGTTGACCCAGAGCCGGATTGGTAATCAAGTTCCCCACCCCTCCACTGTCCCTGGAATGTTCCTTCCGCCCACCACTTCCACGGCGGGGGGTGGGGGCGGGGGGAGGGGGAAGGGGACGCTTTTCAAGGGCACAGCCCTGACAGCGCAATGTGTTGCTTAGCCCGTCTAGAAGATACACGCGGCGGAACCCCGTTAAGGCCTGTATAAACGCGTGAGATGCTGGAGGCGGAGACGCGCAGGCCTCACCACCGCCGAAGACAAGCCTCGTAAGTAAGCCCCCTTGCTCACTGTAAAACTGCCGCCCGGCCGCCTGGAGGTTTTCCATGTCTCCTTCCCCTCCCTCTACTACGCCGATTTCAACTTTCTGCGCGGAAGCCCCCCATCCTACAATAGTCGTAGGTGGAGGCAGGAAGTAGAATAAGAGAGACCAGGGGCTGGGGGTCAGGGAGGGCATGGGCAGTTACTGCTTAATGGGTGCGCAGTTTCGGTTTGGGCTGATGAAAAAGTTCCGGAGATGGATGGTGCCGATCATTGCCCATCACTGTGAATGTACTTCATGCCCTTGAGCTGTACACTTAAGAATGGCTAAAATGGGGGACGCCTGGGTGGCTCAGTCGGTTGAGTGTCCGACTTTGGCTCAGGTCATGATCTCATGGTTCGTGGGTTCGAGCCCGGCGTCGGGCTCTGTGCTGACATTTAGCTCAGAGGAGCCTGCTTCAGATTCTGTGTCTCTCTCTCTCCCTGACCCTCCCCTGCTCACGCTCTCTCTCTCTCTCTCTCTCTCTCTCTCTCAGAAATAAATAAAACACATTAAAAACATTAAAAAAAAAAGGAATGGCTAAAATGGTAAATTTTATGTTAGGTCTATTTTACCACAAAACAAGAAAAAAAAAAAACCCTGGGGCGCCTGGGTGGCTCAGTTGCTTAAGCGTCAGACTTGGTTTTGGCTCAGGTCATGGTCTCCGGGTTATGTGTTGGAGCCCCATGTGCGGCTTTGCACTGACAGTGTGTTGCCTGCTTGGGATTCTCTCTCTTCTTGCTCTGGCCCTCCCCAGCTTGCGCTCAATCTCTCTCTTAAAGTAAATATTAAAAAAAAATAGACTTCGTACTAATTCAGTGATAACAGAACACTTGGAGTCTAACGCACTGGGTCTTTATCCCTGGGTCCTCCCACAGTCTTGCGCGAGCTGCAGGTCTTGCAAGATCTTTCAGGAACTTAACTCTTTGTACTACTCAGTGTACGCCTTGTTTTGCCCGAGTCGCGGGTCCCCAGAGACCACCAAGGAGCGGGCACGGATGCAGGTACAAAAGGGTCTTTATTACAAGCTCGAGCAGGGGCTCACCCGTCTACTGTCCCAGCAGCAGCAAAGTGAAGCCCTGAACAGTGGCGAGCAGGGTTTTTATGGGGGAAGGGCGGGGGTGTTACCGTGCACACGTTGTACGTTTTGCATCATTACATAAGCACCAGTCATAATTGTACAATGCCCATAGTAACAGCATAGTAACCGTTTTGACCATTTAGTATCTGCGAGGTGTCCGTTACTTTTGGTGGGACCCAATCATGACCTTTGAGAGTCTTTAAAAATGACCAGTTTTGAGGTGGGCTCAGAGAATCTATGTGGGGCTTATGCAAGCATTGATTAATTGGCAAGTTTGTACAAAGTAACTACCTGCAGTTCCCAGCCCTGACTCCTCTCCAAGACTACAGGAATGTTACACATTTGTTTTGACTGGCAGATCGGAGGGCCGTCCGAGGGTGGCTTCAGCTGAGGCTTTTCCTGGAACTGGGACTACGTGCAGCCTGAGGTTGTTTCTAATGGAGGACTTAATTTCAGGCTCCTCAGACTCTCTCAGAGAACCTCAGAATCAGGCCTGGGCTGTGTGGCACATACCAGCCTCCATTCTGTATCTCTTCCCTTCTCCTGAGCTTCAGTGCACTGGAAACATAACTCTGCCTCCTTTAGCCAACATTTCCGGTCCCTACCCTCACTGGATAAGCCTGGAGACCACATGCCAATCAGTTCAAGTAAATAGGGGCCCACAGGGACAGGGGAATTGCTCCCTGATTTAGGATACCAGTTTCAGCCAGGAAGGACCTACTAGTGTAAGATGAATATTATATATTATAATATAAGATATATCACAGTATTCTGAAATGAACTTTTTACTTTGTGTTTAATCCCCTTACAGGAAGCTGATGGAAGGGAGGGGCCAGGTCTTAAAAGTGTATGTTCCTAGAGCCTAATGCTGTGCCAGACACATAGGAGTAGGTATTCAGGAAATTTGTGCAGTTGAACTAGGGATCTTCAAATCAATTACAGCAGTTAAACTAACATTTAGTAAGTAAGTAATAGATAACGTTAGTTATCTATTGCTGTGTAATAAGTTATCCCAGATTTAGTGGTTTAAAACACTAATAATCATATATTACTATTTATAGTTTTTTCTGGGTCAGAAATTCAGGGTTAGCACAGGAAAGAGGGCTTAATGACGACTGGGACTTGAAGGCTGGGGACTGGAATCATCTGGAGTCTCATTCACTCCCATGTCTAGTGCTTGATGTTGGTGTGAACATGTCTGGGTTCTCCATGTGGCCTAAGCTTCTTCCCAATATGGTGGCTGGGCTTCAAGGGTAAGCATCCTAAAAGAGAGAAAGAAAGAGAAGCAGAAGCCATATATTTCCTTGTATGACTCAGAAGTTACACAGCATAACTTTTGCAACTTTTGCAACAGTTGCAAGGTATGCCTAGAGTCAAGAAAAGGAAATAGACCCTAGCGGATGTGTGTCAGTCTCACTTGGTGAGAAGAACATTTTGGGGGTGGGGGGTCATGTTAAATGTGGCCATCTTTAAAAAATACATTTGCCACAGAGCTTGTAATGTGTTAGAGACTGTGTTAATGCCTTTCTCTAGGCTTTTCTTTCATTATTCAAGGTTGATTGACCTGTTAACTTGTTTTTTTCCATGAGTATTTATTGAACACTCACTGCCAGGGAATAAAGTTAGGCGATAAGGAGAGGGGAACCAAACAGAAGTGGTTTCTGCCCACATAAAGATTGTGGTCTGGTGATGGAAGAAGGCATTGTAGCCATTTTATTCATGTGAAGAATGAAGCCTGAGTCAGATGATAGACTCACGGCTCGACAAGGGTATGAAAGACTTCCATAAGGACCACCATTCTTAGTAGGCCATGTTGACCAGATGGTGGACCATTCTAATTTTAAAGCTGTCCAGGATATAAAAGAGGAAATTTCTGATGATAAAAGCTCATGGCAGTTCAAGCTCATTTCTCTCTTGTCTGGTTTTCTGTCAAGCCACAGAAGTGGTCAGGTCTCTCCTTACAAAAACCTGTTTTATATTAAATAATTATTATCAAGTCACTTAACAGCTCTTCCCTTTTCTAGCTCAATTTCCTTAACTTTGAAACCTTTCCTCATGGGCTGTTGTTTATTCTGTAATCATTTTATTGTTTTGTCTTGTTTCTGTAGGGAATCTCAAACTGTCCACAGTATTTTGAGTAAGCCAAGAAGCCACGGGGGTGAAAGAATAACATGTGGGCTCCAAATGCTTTTCTGTGAGTACACACTGATAACACTGGCTCTTAATGTGACACCACCTTGTATCTTAGAGTTCACTGACTCTAAGTGAGTTCTAGATCACATGTGTAGTCTTCTGTAGTTTCTGCTTTTTTCTTAAATGACCATGTTTACCACCGCCGATGGAATTAACACTTTACCAACTGAAATAGGGTCTGGGATCTTATTTTCTTATTTTGATGCCTTAAATAGTTTTTAGCTTTTTTTCTGGCCTACCATTGAGTGTTTGAATCTAATATGTTTAGACAAACTAGTTCTAAACGCCCTTGAACCTGGTTTCTTTCATTCCTCAAATATTTATTGAATACCTCCTGTGTGCCAGATGGTGTACAATGCGCTAGGGGGTCAAATACCCAGCAAAAGCTGACATGGTGCTTGCATTCTCAGAATCTAGTGCTCTCTCACCAAGGGAACTAGATGTTGATTGAATTCTAGACCAAGAAAATGCCTGCTTCCTAACAGGTACAACTGTGTGCTCTTATGGAAGCATGTGAGAGTTGGATCATGGAGCCTGATATTTTAGTTAAATAAACTTTTAATTTTTGAACAGTTTTAGATTTACAGAAAAAGTGAGAAGATACTACAGAGCAGTCCCATATGCCTGGTGCAGTTTCTCTGTTATTAACATCTTACAGTAGTATGCTTTGTTACAGTTAATGCACAATATTAGTATGTTTTCATTCAAATCCATAATTTATTCAGATTTCCTTAGTTTTCACCTACTGTCCCTTTTCTGTTCCAGCATTCTGTCTGGGTTATCACATCGCATTTAGTCATTCTGTCTCCTTAGGCTGTGATAGTTTCTCAGAGTTTCCTTGTCTTTGATGACCCGGAAGGTCTTGAGGAGCACTGGTCCGGTGTTTGTAGAGCGCCCCTCCGTTGGGGTTTGTCCAGTGCCTTACAATTGGGTTGGGGTTATGGGTTTTGGGGAGGAAGACTGGAGGTAAAGTGCCATTCTCATCACATCAAAGGCAGGGTACATGCTATCAGCATGACTTATCCGTTGATATTGACCTTGACCACTTGCCTGCAGTTGTGTTTATTTGGTTCTTCATTGTGCAGTGACGCTTACTGTTCCATGCCAGCCTCTTTGGAACGAAGTCACTGTGCACAGCCCACACTCAGGAGTGGGCGGTTGTGTTCCAACTCCTTGAAGGCAGAGCGTCTCAGTGGATTATTTGGAATTTTTCTGCATGACAGAGTTGTCTTTTCTCCTCCAGAAAGTTCATTTTATAACAGCTAGCTTTGTTG